GACACGTCAGCAGTTGCGGACAGAGTTCGAATGGTTTCACCTCCGTCGGTGACAGTCAACCCACCGGCAGTGACAGTGGCACCACCAAGGGTGACGGCTAGACCACCTTCATGGATGGTGGTCAACCCATCGCCTCGGATATCGAATATGGCAGTGGACGTCCCAGAGAGTGCACTGAACAAGTAGAAGGACGAGCCAGCAGTGGTAGCCGATATTGCCGTCAATACGGACCCGCTGTAGCCGGTACTTGCAGCAGTGATCGTTGACACGTCAGCAGTTGCGGACAGAGTTCGAATGGTTTCACCTCCGTCCGTTACGGTGGCACCGCCAGTGGTGATCGACAGCCCTCCCTGGTGTATCGTAGTCAGCCCATCGCCTCGGATGTCGAATATGGCCGTAGATGTCCCAGAGAGTGCACTGAACAAGTAGAAGGACGAGCCAGCAGTGGTAGCCGATATTGCCGTCAATACGGACCCGCTGTAGCCGGTACTTGCAGCAGTGATCGTTGACACGTCAGCAGTTGCGGACAGAGTTCGAATGGTTTCACCTCCGTCGGTGACAGTCAACCCACCGGCAGTGACAGTGGCACCACCAAGGGTGACGGCTAGACCACCTTCATGGATGGTGGTCAACCCATCGCCTCGGATATCGAATATGGCAGTGGACGTCCCAGAGAGTGCACTGAACAAGTAGAAGGACGAGCCAGCAGTGGTAGCCGATATTGCCGTCAATACGGACCCGCTGTAGCCGGTACTTGCAGCAGTGATCGTTGACACGTCAGCAGTTGCGGACAGAGTTCGAATGGTTTCACCTCCGTCGGTGACAGTCAACCCACCGGCAGTGACAGTAGCACCGCCTAGAGTGACGACGAGACCACCTTGGTGGATGGTGGTCAGCCCATCGCCACGCACGTCGAAAATTTCCGTCGTCGCTGCAGCGTTGATCTTGAGCAAGTAAAACGAGCTTGACGCAGCAACCAACGTGGTCTCGATCACAGCCACGGTGCTTTGGAACGCCAAATGACTCGCATGTACGGAAAAGGACGGCAACAACTGCGCCGTGCTCGTGATGTCGGCACCCCCGTCCACAACGACAAGGCCCTGGGCTTGGATTGTAGCGCCCCCGTTGGTTACCATGAGCCCCCCTGCATTCACGGTGGCTCCCCCCGCATAGACGTAAAAGCCTCCGGCGGTGATGGTGCCACCCCCCAGCAACACTTGGAACCCCCCCGAATGAACGGTGGTGAACCCATCTCCTCGTACGGAGAACGTCACCACCCCGTTCGACTTGGCTTCCAAGAGTTTGAACGTTACGTTTGCCGCTCTGGAGGCCCCGATAGTCGCCACAGTGCCCGTAAACGTTCCTAGTCCGGACAACGCCGTCAACGCTGACGCTGCCAGGTCCTGGTTCACGAAGTTGCCCCCACCAATGCCATTCACATACAACCCCCCATTGGTCAACGTTGTCTTTCCCGACGCTTCGACCGTGATCGCCGTCGTTCCCCCAGCCGACGCCGTGAGCAAGTTGAAGTCTGTGAGTGGGAATTGCGACGAAGCCGTGGCTGCTATCGACACCACAGAGCTAGAGTAGCCTCCACTGGAGGCTTGCACTGTCAGGACCGACGTAGTTCCAACGTTGTCGGTGATGGTGGCGCCCCCGAGGACCACTTCCAACCCCCCAGAACGAACGGTGGTGCGTCCATCGCCCCGAATGTCAAACATCGGAACAAGCGAGTTTTCTGTCGACGCTTTAAACAGGTAAAACGTGATCGCGGCCGCTTGAGTCGCCCGAGCCGTCATGACAGTGCCAGTGAACCCCGTGTTTGGGGCCAACGCGTCCGCCACCGTGCCAGCGACGGTCGTCAACGTGGTGGTACTCCCCCCATCTTGAATCGCTAGTCCCCCCGTCGCAATGGTCTCCCCCGCTTGGACAAAAAGCGTACCAGTGTCCACACGGACATTGCCCTTTGTCCAAAACGTGTCGCCGTTGCCCAGCATATAAAACAGCGGTTGACTGGCCGCTTCAATTTTGATCATTTGAAAGTCGGTCTGCATGGCTTTGATCGTTTGGATATGCAGGGCGATGCCAACATACGACGGCCCTACGGGTTGGATGAGGAAACCGTCGTGGTCGTCAATGTTGTCTGGGATGTTGGACAACTGGCTGCAGTCGCTCGTCTTGTAGTCCAAAAAGCATGTGCAAAGGCCGACGGTGAAGTCGCAGATGCCGCGACGGGAGCAGTATTCATGCTCTACAGGCGTATTCCGTGAACCCTGGGTCAATCATGATATTGGATCACGTCAACATGGCTGGCCTAGGGGAGGCTACCCACCTACCAATGAGGTTTGTCGAAACCACGTCTGCAAACGAACATGTCGGCGAGTTGGCACTAGTGACACCTGCGACGTGGCAGCTAAATGACGCCAACGGGGGGTTCCCAGTGTGAAAAAACACGTTGTTCTCCGAGTCCCAGTGCGACCATTCTTGGAATTCAATCGTGTACGTCGCGCCTTGGGTCGTGCTGTCCACGGCAGACATGACACAGGTGGCAGTGCGAACATTGCCCAAAGTCAGGACTGCCGCCGCACAAATCGCATCTGAGTTCGAGTTGGCATTTGCGGGCATCGTGAATGAGTACCCGTTGAACGTGACTGTCACGACACCAGCCAGCGCTGACGTGGCGCCACTGACGGTCAGCGCGATGGAGCGAAACGCTTGGCCGGGGGTGAGCGGGTCGTCGTTCTTTGGACACATGCCTAGACAATATGATGAGACATGAGCAACTTGCTGCAGAACGGTTTACGTACGCATGGAGCAATCTGGCCCGGTAAAGCCCATGTCGCAATAACACGTCGTGATGCTGTCCTTTTCCCAGTTGCTGTACGCTGGACCGAGCCCCGTGGCCATGGTTTGGGGGCCGTACGACCGAGCGAGGGTGGCCAACGTCAGGCACTGCCCGCGACCGGAGCAGTCGTTGGGACACCGCACTACAGGAATTAGTGTGAGTGTTTGATTACAATGAATCAAACGAACTTCGTTGACATGCGTCGCCAGTGAACCCCTGGGTGCAGATACACGAGCCTTTTGAGTAGTCGCAGATGCCACGGTTTGAGCATTCTGTGGCGGTGGCGTGGGCTCCGTTCGGAGTCGATGCTTTGTCTACCCAAGCGATTCCAGTCGGACAAACATGACGAGAACAGTCTGGCACAACATTCCACTCGGCATCGCAGGTGCATTTACTGCCAGCAAGAGTGAGGCGACTATGATAAGTTGATGAAGGCATCCGTGACGTACTTGGATGCGCCACAGGTGCCATGCCCGGAGCACATGTTCGCACAGCTCGCGTCGCTACCAGGGATCCATGGCAGTCCCACAAGTAGCACACATAGCAGCAGCACGTCGAGCTGCATCGGAAATGTGCAATACTCCCGACCGTTCGAATCGTATCTCGGATCTCGAACCGGCATGGATCCTTATTGGTTGATCCGTCAAAAGCCGTTTCAACATTTCATGATGTTTCTGGCGCGGCGAAGTGTCGCTGTGGCCGTGGCGGCCGCGGCGGTGGCACTTGCAGCTTGCCCGACAGCACCTGCTTCTGGACGGATATGCAACGGACGCGGCAACTGCACACCTTTGGGCTCATGCCAGTGCGATGCATCTGCCTTCGGCTTTGATTGCTCCCAGCGTAGGTGCTACTGCGTCGACACTATCAACCGTACTCAGTCGCTCGTTGATAGTGCGCTGCCCATCGGGGTTGGCGTGGTCAGGGAATGCAGTGGGCATCAATCAGATCCACGTTCCTGCAGAGTGTTCGAATCGAGGCACGTGTAGCCGCGACTCAGGCGAATGCCGTTGCGACCCCGGGTTCACCGGTGCTGCGTGCGACAAGTGTAAGGCAGCAATGGACGATGAATTTATTTTTCACCCAGCGTTTCAATTGTAGTGGCATGTCCAAACCAGTGTTCCAACAACGGACGGTGTGTGTCCATGTCCCAGCTGGCTCTGCTGCGCAGTCCATTCGACTACACGTATGCGACCGTGTGGGACGCTGAGATGATCCAAGGCTGCCTCTGCGATCGTGGTTCAGCTGGCGTGGATTGCGTCATGGGTACCATCATATGCGGTGACGTTAGCAGGACTAACGTATCATCACGTAGCCACGTGCCCAAACGGCGACGACCCCATGACCTTGGCCCAAGTTAACGAAGTCCAAATTCTGAAATGCACCGCGACGGCCGGCTTCTTCTTTTTGAAGCTCCGCGGCGAGACCACGTCTGCCCTCGCCATCTCAACCACGGCCGCGCAATTGAAAACCATCTTACAAGTACGACAAGACAAGTCCATCTACTGTACAACTACATACATGCTACCCCCACCACCATCATGAAAAGCGTGCTGGAATTGTTGGTTGATGATGCACACTGGTGGTAGAATGTAGCTCCATTTGGTGCTGTTCGAACTACCTACTCGTTTGGCACGACCTTATGTGACGCCACGGGCCGCAACGTCGTGTCGATTGAATTCACATCCAACTTTGGCCCGTAATAATCTTCATTCTCCAAGTGCAACGTGATGAATCATGATCAACCGTATGCTTTAGTCAACCAGCCATGCTGGCAGTGACGCTACTGCGCGGCCAAGCAACATTAACAGGCAACGTTGTCACAGGGGCAGGCGGGGCAGCCATTGGGACGACTGTGAGTACTCGGGGCACGAAAGAATACGCCCCTTGCAGCAATCGTGGGTACTGCAACCCCAGTACGACGACGTTAATTCATGTCCAAAATGACTAAGTGCAATGTGGTAGAAATCGGGCAATGTGCGTGTTACACGTACCCCATGCCCGGCTTTCGATCGAGTGACGGCTACGGCAAGGTGGGCCTCCGAGCGGACTGTGGGGCCCCGGACAACACCAACTTTTACGGGGGCCCCATCAAGGGCTGTCCAGGCTACTTGCCGTGCAGTGGCCATGGAGCGTGCTCTGGCCCACCAGCTTACACGTGCGCCTGTGCCGTAGGCTGGGTCACTGGAGACTGCTCTATGCGTGCGTCTTGCTACTATTTATTGTGGTGTTTTGGCTAGTGACGTTGTATCGCGTTTGATTCTTCACCTTGAATCGTGTTAGGCGACTGCCCCAAAGGTCTGTCGTGGTTTTCCCTCCCTTTACGAACCAACGAAGCGCATACAACGAGGACCACATGCTCGGAGGGCGGCACGTGCGACCCCATCACGGGCGAATGCGAATGCGTACCTCCATTTGAAGGACCTTCGTGCAACCTCAGTACATGCGATCCCTCGTCGTTTGTGGTGATTCAACAGTGTTGTTGTCGTCATAGTGCAATGTCCCAAAGGCGATAGCATCTACGAGTGCAGTGGCCACGGCAATTGCCTCAATTTGATGGCGCTAGCACAGGCCACCCGCACTCGCGACTGGCTGCCCGCTGGGTTTTCCTACGGCTTGGACCCAAACAACCCCACGACGTGGGATGCGCTCAAGATCCAGGGCTGTCAGTGCGACCGCGGCTACACAGGCTACGATTGCAACCAACGTACGAGCCACTTTTTTTGATCTTTTCACCATGTTTTGGATGTGCGTTTTGGTGGGACTAGGAAAATGCCCGACGGGGGACGACCCACTGACGCTGGGCCAAGTAAACGACGTGCAAAGCGTGCAGTGTGCGGCATCGGACGCTGGAACGTTTCAGCTGTCTTTCCGCGGGGAAAACTCCCCGCCGATCCCGTTCAATGCAGCCCCGACGACTTTGCAAGCTGCAATCGTTTCCATGGTCACTGTCACGGACGTTGCCGTGTCGTATTCCCAGCCTGGGAACGGGGCGTGCGTTGGAGGAAACGTCATCACAGTCACGTTCATGCAAGAGTTTGGCAACTTGCCGCGATTGCAAGTACTGGACCAAAACTTGCGCCTCAATGGGGTGACCAGGGCCGGGCTCACCCCCATCGCCACCAAAGTGCAAAATGGGACGAAAGAAAATGCCGTGTGTTCGAACCATGGCACATGCGACGGGGCCACAGGCGTGTGCACGTGTGGGTTTGGCTTTGCCAGTTCCAACGGTTATGGCGACCCGGGCCAGCGGGGGGACTGTGGATTTGTCGTGCCGTGGCAAGTTGTGGTTAGCTAATTTGCCAAGTCGTCGATAAAAGGATACTGTACTATTGTGAATTCGCTATAAACTTGCAAATTCGCGCGATTTGTCTGAGCAATATTGAATCACGCTGGAGTTCTGATTGGTTGAATATACTTGTCCTTTCTGTAAGAGCCAATCAAACACACTCAAAATTGGATTAGCCACTAGCGTCGAGATTCGATTCGACGAGATCTGGAAACTCGTATCGAATCCACAATACTACAGTAGTACTACGTAGTATTACAGTATTAATAGTACTGTGAATTCACTATAAACTTCCAAAATTTGGGTGGTTTGTATGAATCACTGAATATACTTGTCCTTTCTATACGAGCCAATCAAATCCATTCCATGTTGGATTTGCCAATAGCGTCGATTCGGTTCGATGGGGTCTGGAATTTTGTACGAAATCCACAATATTAACCATTGCTTACTCCTCCAGTTTCAAGTACGTTATGATGTTTATCAAGGACAAGTTCAAGGGGTAGTTTGAGAGACTAACGTTATGTACTTCAATCTACCCGGGTAGTGTCGCCACACGCCACTCGTCAAAGCGTCGTTGGGATTGTTACCCGTGCATATGCGAAATCGAAATTTGCAAAGGTAATAATGTTTCTACCAAGTGGTATTAATACTGTAGCAATATCTTCCAAGTACAAGTATTAATTTGTGGATTCAACTTTAATCGATGGGGATTTTCGCTGTATGGTATAGCCGAGCCAAGAGTTGGCGGCAATGGACATATGGATGGTCCAACACGCGCTCGTCACTGGCGTCTTGGGCTTGGAGGTGGAGGTTCTGGAGCGCATGCATGTACACGTCCTTGTTGGCGTCTCGGATCATGCTGACAATCAAATCGGCGACGTGGCTACAGCCCCACAACATGACGTCGAAACATTCACAAAATAACTGCGACAACCTAACAAAGATCTTTTTTCATTTCGTACATGGACACGACGGCAGGGTACGGGGCTTCCAGGAACGATCGAAACTTGACAATCCCGCCTGCCCGAGCAAAAAGTTGACCGTCGTCATAGGTTGCTTTGACTACCATAGCCACGATCCCTGCGACCCCCGACGACGACGACGGTCGCGAGTCTGTCGACTGTAGCGCCTGCAGTGCGGCGAGGTAGCAGTCGCTCGACAGTTCGTGCAGCAGATCGCGGTCCAGCGCTACTGCACCACAGGTCACAGCTCGCAGAACCGACGCCGGCTCGGAGGTGTCGAGTACCCCCTTTTGACGGTTCCTGGCTCGACGGTGGACAAAGTTGAGCTGGCGGCAACACAGCGTCAGCACGAGCTCCATGAGCGCCTCCCACGCCCCGCTGTCCAAAGGTACAACTACATCGTGGACCCACTCCTTGGCCACTGCATGGACTTCTCGAAGGATTGCGGGCAACGTGGCGCCCTTGAGCTAATAAAACATGAGTATGAGCTTTGATACGCGGCGGAGAAAGAGTGAATTGCGTACGTACGGAGGACAGGAGCAGTCGGCGCTTGGCGACAAGCGCCAGCACTTGCACCATGGCCAGCCGCAACGCCCTGGATTTAGAACGAACGGCTTGCCAAAACGTCGAACGAGCTTGGAGGCGCAGCGGCTGCCTCGCGTCGACCCCCACCGTCCGTGCAGTCAATTCGTCGTCATCGGTGGATGGCTTTTTTAAAGCTGGGTCAGACAGCAACTCGGCCAGCCATCGCTAGAATCATGCCATAGAGCGGGATGAGGGTGGCGGATGATCATAATCCGAAGACATGAATACCTGGCCTTTGAAGCGCTCGACCGGCACGGCACTGCCAATCAAGTACATGGCCCGTTGCACAGGATCCAAGTGCTGCCCCCCTCCTCCTGACGTGGCGTTGCTACCCACCGACACATCCAACCATCTTCGTTTGTGAACAATATGTGCCAGCGTTGAGCATTGCACAAAGTACTCGTGCACACGTGCCTACCGTCGACAACAATGCGCGATAAGAACTAGGTGATATGTTTTTCCCTTGATATACGAACCACTTGTGCCACCTCCGAGAGCACGACCGCCATGTTACCGCCGTCAACTCCCTCCCCCAAACGACCAAGAAACGCACTGAGATGACCAGGCAGCAGCACCGTCGGAAAGGAAGCGACGACCGACGCAAGCCCACGCTCCAAGCTGGACACCAACAGCCGTTCAACCAGACCATTTTCTAGCTGCACGTTTGGTTTCGCTAGGTCAACGAGCACCATAAACACGAGGCGGTGCACGGCGATGGACGGCGTGGTGAAGAAGTGGTGCAGCAACACGTCCAACATCGACGTGTTGCTCGGGTCGTTCGTGTCGAACGAGTCCAAGCCAAACGCGGGGGTGCCCGAACTCGGGTCCACGGGGCACAACGGCAGGCCTTTTCCGAACTTTTCCTTGCCCTTTCGAGCCCCGTACGTGTCTTGGTGATGCTCTGCGTGCAGCATGTGCCGAAGATACAAGTTCAGGACAAGCATTTCCACGACGGCGACGTGACCCGCAGTGTCTTGCAGCAACGCTATGAGGGTTGATGGCGGAATCGACACGAGTCGATCGGGAAGGTACTCGCCGCGGGAGGAGGACGACGGACGCACCATGCCCACCAATGTGCCGGTAATGAGGGGCAAGGTGGAGATGCCGATGGGCCGCGACAAGTGCACGAGGCGGTCCACCATGTCCAACAGGATAAAGAACAACTCGACTTGCGCCGCGTCGTTGCCATCCACGGCAACGTGCAAGTTGTGCAGCAACGTGAATGCCAGCGTTGGCGGGTCGTCGCTTTGGCGAAGGATCAGCTCCAGGAAGAACGCATGCACGTCCCCGAGGAAGTCGCCGCCGTGAAGCGTCATTTGGATCAGATACGCCAATAGCACTTGCTCTACGTGGTTGCAGTATGATTGTTCAGTCGGCGTGAGCGGTGGCAGGCTTCGGAGGTGGAAATACCCCTTGACAAGGTCGTGCAGCATGTCGAGTGGATGTGTGAGCACCACAGCGAGATGTGAAGCCGACAAGTGCTTGAGGTCATAATCGTCGACACACGAGCCTCCTGATGGATCCTTGACGGACGAGTGGCGGGGTGGTAGTGGTTGCTGCTGGTACTCTGCACGGAGACGCCCCAGATCCCGCACATCTTGGAACACATGTGCTGGATTGGACACGACCACCTGCGCCGCGGGAAGGTCGTACACGTACTCGTCCGTCGACCATTCTTCAAACATAGCGTTGTACGTTGCGTCAATCTCGTAAAACGAGGGCAACACCCCGTCATCAGACGTGCAATATCGCTTCCCAAAGCACCGCTTACGCAGGTACCGCAGGGCTTGGGCTGCGTTCATCCAAATAAGATCGCAAGATTTGGAATGGAAATCCACCGCTGCTGCTATGCTGGTGGAGAGTCACGTGATTGGCTGAATTCGGATATCTGTGATTTGATTGGTGAGTATTGTATCTTGAATCGACGGACATGGTCCGACAGTTTAACGTTTGCGTTGAGGAGTTAAACGTATGGTTTTACTCGAGTTTTATTATTTTCCGGTAAAAAAGGAATGTTTGAAAAAATAATATAACTATATAATATATATATATACTGGGGTAGTGTTTGACTTCTGGTTTTGTCACTTTGAGTTCGGGAGCCTTCGTCATCATGGTGGTGATCTGCCGCGCGTTGAGCCAGGAGCTGTCGCTGCCTGGGCTGGAAGCATGCGCCGTGGACGTCATCCGCATTCTCCAAACAAGCGACTCGTACGGCGCCGTGCCGCCCATCGTGTCCAACTTGGTATTGTGTCTTGTGATCGCCACAGTGTCGTTTCTCCTGCAAGCGTCGACGGGCAACTACTCTCACGTCGACCGTTTATGGTCGATTACTCCCGTGCTTTACTCGTGGAACTACCTGTTTGTGGCTTGGAGCCGCGGTCTTGCCGCAGACGTGCGTCTCGTGGTGTTGGTGCTGCTGATCACGCAATGGGGATGTCGACTGACGTTCAACTTTTACCGCAAGGGCGGATACCAATGGACGGCTGAGGTACGTCCCCATGACATGCACCAACCTTCCACACGATCGATCGTTCATAGGACTATCGATGGGCATACACGCGGACGTGGTTCCCGCACGCGGTGCTGTGGCACGCGTTCTCATTGACGTTCATCGCGTTCTACCAGCACATTTTGCTCTTCCTGATCACGTGCCCGCTCCAAGTGGTGTTTAACGTATGGGAAAACAAGTACAAAAGCGACATATTGGACAACTGGTACACACTCCTCCGTGTCCCTTGAACTCAATATATATTAATCTGTACAATATATATATACTTCGTACTTCGAAGTAGTATTAATCTGTACAAAATATATATATTAATCTGTACAATATATATATATATATTAATCTGTACAATGTATATATATATTAATCTGTACAATGTATATATATATTAATATGTACAATATATATCCACCACCCCATTTTGCATTCGCATGGTAGGACAATGTGGGATTCTGGCCTGGCGCTGTTGTTTGCTGGGTTGCTCGTACTGGAAACCATTGCGGACCAGCAGCAATGGAACTTCCAGCAAGTCAAGTATGTTGCCAATCATCACAATATATTTCCATCGGTCGTGATATATATATATATATATAATTATATTTAATGAATCCAAAATTGACCCTACTTAGGCTGACATATATATATATATAGATGGGGCCTGCTGAAACGAACGAAAAAGCCACTGCCTCAACTGCCCCACCCGTACAACGTTGGCTTTTGCACCACGGGCGTGTTTGCTTATAGTCGGCACCCCAACTTTTTTGCTGAGCAAGGGTACTACTACTAGTACTACTACTACTCGTAACCAACTAACTACTCGTGTAACTACTGTACCCAACTAGGTTGTGGTGGACGGTGTACCTGTTCTCCGTGTCGGCTCGTGGCCATCACAACTGGACAGTTCTCGGAACGTTCTTGCTCACACTGTTATTCCAAGGCAGCACACGGCTCACCGAGCACTTGACCCGTCAAAAGTACCCTTCTTATGCCCTTTACCAAGCTCAAGTGTCCATGCTACTGCCCCTGTGGCCTTTTTCGTTTCAAGCACCCAAACAAGATTAATAGTTATTCTTGTTTTTGGCTTGGGGCATTCATTACTATTGGACTTTGTGGATTTTTCATTCGCTATCAACTTGCAACTTTCGCGTGATTGACTCACGCTAGAGTTGTGATTGGTTGAATATATTTCCATAAGAGCCAATCAAATCCACTCAAGATCTGGATTAGCCATAGCATAGTCGATTGATTCCGCGGCGAGATCATTCGATTCGCGGCGGGGTCTGGAAATATGTACACTGAATGAATCCACAATGTACTGGTCGTGTGCCCAATATCATATGTACAACCTCGTCTACCGTTAGGTATCTGATATGTTTCAAAACACTCACAAAGCGCACACTCAGGGTAGATTATGACGTGGCATCGCCGTCGTTCGTCGTCGTCGCTGGTTTCGGTTGTTTCATGCTCTGCAGCACCAATGCCCGCAACTGACGCTCCTTTGCCAGCTCTCGGCGCTGGCTTTCCACGACCTGCACGCGCAACGCCTCCATGTCCTGCTGCAGTCGCTCGTCGTGGGTCTTGGGAGGACGCACCGCCCCCGTGTCGTTGTCTACGATCCACACGGAGCTGGCTAGCCGGGGGATACCACTGGACGCTGCCACGTATTGCACCAAGCGCGGCTTCTTTAGGGCACTGGTGCCGCCGTATCGATCTGGTAACGCCGTCACACGCTCTGTCGCATACACTGGCGTGGTGGGCGCCCCCACTTCCCGTCGCCACAACGCCAGACTATTCAGCGTTCGTAGGCATCAACATCGACATGGCGTTAACAGTTAGGGTTGTATATTGTCAAGATATTCGAGTGAGCAGAAGAACCAAATCGACAGACAATCGATATATCGACCAATCAAAACCCAGAACTCTAATCAATTGGCCAATCAAATTATCCACTCTTCGACCAAGTTTCAACATCGAATTAGCAGTGTGTGACTGAAATTCGTGGGATCATATTGTGCTTTCGAGTGAAATTTCATTGTGTTGTGGTTTCTCGTTGGAATTTAAATCGATTTGATTGGCTACTTCAGATGAGCTCAAGATTATTAGCCAATCAAAACCACCTTCTCAATGAAATTCAACCAATCAGATCGATTGTGGATCGGTTTGGTTGGCGTGATTCGATTGCACCCCCTCCCCAAATTTGTATCAAATCGACAATAATGGACGATCTTTACATACAAAAACCAGTACAAAGAATCGATATATCAACAGATTTGGCAAAGAATTAAAAGTCAACCAAATTTTGGGTAAAATAAACACAATACCGTTTGCGAGCAGCTTGAATGCGAGACATTTGACCGGCGTGAGAATTGGCTTCTTTCCATCGCTGCGCTTGGTCTACATAGAGAAACAACAACCCCCAATAATCATGGAGCATATATATATATATAAATTCCTTCACTCTGTATCGCATGCATGCCGTCATCATCGTCTGCTTGAGAGGATGACGAAGACACCACAAGATAATATATATATATATATATGGGATATCCCTTTGGGCAAGAAAAACCACACCTTCGATACACATATATATATACCTGCTAGAAACGCCGACACTTGGGTTTCGAGCGCGTCCATTTGCGTCTGCAGGCCGGCCACGTCACCTACGTCTGCGACACGGTGCAACAACAGGCCAATGTCCGTGTGACGCTGTCGCAGGTCGTTCTCGCCGTCTTCATGTCGTGGGGTTGCACTACCAATCTGCTCGCCCAGAGCGACATGGCGAGCGACCAGTTTGTCCAAATGGCCACCAGCCTGCACGACCTCGTCGAGGTCGTCCAATCGCTTGGCCACGTCCTCGGTCCGGTCCCCCCACGCTTCGTTTTCAATGGTTTGCAGCAGACTTTGCACGTGAAACGGCGCGATACTCCAGCTCTTGACAGCACGTTCGACCTGATAGAATCGGTCCACGACTTCTAGCCGCGCTACGACCGCGTCCACCGAGTGCACGGCTTCATCCACGTCTTCATCCAGCTTGGTCAAGTATGTCTGGACGTCCTCGGCGTTGTTTACAGAAGACGACGATGACGTGGCACTTCCATGAGACTACACCCAGCAATGTGCACATTGGTACATATCTCCATTTACATGTGGCCATATCATTCATACTAGTATCAAATATCCCGCAGTCAAACCCCTACATGGCCGGCTTCCATCCTCCGCAATCATATATATATATATTTATGTTATGGTATTTGTTTTCACACTGATATATATATAAATGTATAACGACATCCACAATGATGATCTGTATAATATTTTGGGCAGATGTATTTGTGAGCCAATCCGCAATCCTCCGCGTTGATACTTATATCCACGTGGAATATTCGTAGACGGCACAAAATCGTGTGATGACCATCGAAATTCAATTCTAAAAAACCTCATCGATCGATTAATTTGGACAACCCACCACCCAAGTCCCACGTTTTGGCTCTACATATATCTTCACGAACGTACCGTAGTCGCGCTTTGAACTGCCACCGCCAATGCTTCGTCGGCCGCTGCCATATCTGCCACCACTGCCACGTGGCCGACAATCGATGCAAACGAGTGCTTGGCAGCCGATAGTTTTTTCTGCAGCCGCGCCAACTTGAGATCCCGCGCCGCCGCCGCCGCTTTGTTGACTTGTTTGGTCCACGCGGCTCGCTGTATCGCAGCTTCATGCTCCTCCTTGTCGCGCACAGCTTTCGCCAGGCAGGTGCCGACTACGTCCAGCGCCTGTCGCACGATAGCCACCCGTTCCATCGTCGGCTCCGCCTTCAAAGCCCCGTATGCGGCCGCGGCGGCCTTGAGCTCGGCCAACGACGAAGACAACTGGATGGCGTCGGCGGCGGCTTTGTCCAACTCGTCCCCCAACGACCCAACTAACGCCGTGGCCTGCTCCATCGACGCCTTGGCCTGCCGTTCCGCGGCGATCGCGGCCGCCGCCTTGGCCTGCTGGTCATGCAACCGCTGTTCCCTTGCAAATCTACAAGATACCGCTATAGCAATGATCATGGCGGGTATTGCTACCGGCGCTGGCGAATATGCGCGTCGCTGAGGTACTCGGTCGTGTCGACGTGGGCCACCAGCGGCACAAACGTCTTTACGTGGGATGTCTAGTTCGAAGAGATGACCCACAGAACTGAGCGATGATGGGATCGTTGTCTTACGTGGCACAGCACGCGGCTTCCACCGTCACACAGCGTCGAGAGGGCGGCGCGCACTCCGTCGTATGTCTTGAACTGTACGTACGCATCAAAGTGTGATGTGGACACTGTCGACGAGGCGGTGGTCCCGTCGTCGGCGCCAGCGGTAGTACTAGTAGTGGCAGACGGCGGCACGACGTCGATGGCCCTACGATCGAATATGGGTTGTATGACAGTTTGTTCAATGATGAATACACGTACGAGAGAGCGCCAAATGTGCTGAAGAGTTGAAACAAAGCATGCTGGTCATGCATGTACGCGCTTTGGATGGATGGAGGAGGATGGTCGTCGTCGTCGAGAAACGATTTCGTGTCTACGTCAAACCACTTGGCCGGCAACCCCTTGACAACGATCGTGTCGATGCGACACCCCTTCATGTGTTGGTCAAAGTCTGGCGGGGCAGTGACGGCAAGAGATGATGACACGGTAGCGTTGTCGTTGACTACCGTGGCGATCTGAATCTCCACCGCGTTGCCCTGCGCGAACACGGTGTTGTTCGGCTGCCCAGACACGATGGAGTATGCGTCGTTGAATGCATGGGCCGTGAAGAAGTACAGTCGCACGACGAGCACCGTGTCTTGACTGCTCTTGGTCACTGTCCGAGCGTGGTCGAATTGGACCCCCAACTTCTCGAGCATCTTCTTGGCGTCCCAGAACGATACCTTCGTCTTGGAAGAACCTTTTCCGGGACGCATGCTCACCTCGCACACAAATGCATGTCGAATGACCAACCCAGCAGACCCCCAAGCAAGCTCCAGCTCCTCGGACGACGTCGGCAATGGCATCTCAGCGGTGAATGATTGAACGTCCCCAGATATGAATTTGTTAGGGAGCGGTTTTAAGTGGTTGAAATTGTACTATGTTTTAGCCAACCAAACGCGGTGAACGAAATAAACCCCGCCGATTGGCTACTCCATAATATATGGACTTTTACAATACCATATATATATGGTAAATACTTTCTCCGTACCACAAAAAGAGTGACGATGCTGTTTCTTTTAAAATTATACTATTAATACTACGTAGTATAAACGTTGAAAGCGGTAAAAGCGTTGAAAGCGTTGTGTGCATTTTAAGGATTAAAAGCGTTGAAAGTGAGTCAATTTTGCATGGTTCATTCACACGTCAATCGAGCACAAATAGAGCTGAGACATCTGATTGGCTATTATCCACTTCGCCCCTTTCAGGTGGTAGAAAATCGAAAATCGATTGTAGCCAATCAGTGACTAGTAATTTCCGATTGACCAATGGGAGAGATTGATGCCTGGGAAATTCGTTCGAATCTCCAGTATATTGCAACGCCAAGTCTACTCATTCCGGTCCTTCCAGGCTAGGAGTGCATGGGGAATTGTTCTCCGATCTCGCGACGTGTATACATATAGATGCCGCCGTCTGCTTACAGCGCGATTGCTGTGGTAAAGCTAGTCCTTTCGATGTGCATGGAAGTCGCAACAATAAAATTCATGTGGTGGGTCATAATTCCGGATATTTCGTTGCGTTTGGCCAATCAGGCCGTGTTTTATCCGGCATTCCCGTGTCAAGGAGCATCCCTCGACGCACAACAGCATTTGCTCATGAGCACCTTCGGCCGCTTCTTTCGTGTCACTACGTACGTCCACCGCCATTCCTTCCGACCTCGTGCTCACGTTACGTCATGACATGTTTTAGATTTGGCGAATCCCATTGCAAAGGGGTCGGTGCCATCATCGACGGCGTCCCACCTGGCCTCGAACTCGACGAGCGTGACATCCAACCGCAGCTCACGCGGCGCCGTCCGGGACAGAGCTCGCTCACGACCCCGCGCGACGAGAAGGATCTCGTCACGATCCAGAGCGGCACCGAGCATGGCCTCACGCTGGGCACACCGGTGTCCATCTTCGTCCCGAACGAGAACGTGCGGCCGCAGGACTACAAGGAAATGAGCAACGTACCTCGCCCAGGCCATGCCGACTACACGTACCAAGTCAAGTACGGCGTCCGTGCATCGAGCGGTGGCGGACGCGCCAGTGCGCGAGAGACCATCGGTCGTGTGGCGGCAGGCGCGATCGCGGAAAAATGGTTGCGACTGAAATACAACACCAAGATTGTGTCGTGGGTCAGCTCCATCGGCCACGTACGTTCTGAGTCGAATAGAGTCCTCCTTGAGTGTCCAACTTGTAGGTGGACATGCCACTACACGACCTCAACAACCCGAACGCCCCGCTCTACTCCCGCGACGACATTGACAACCTCGGCCGTCTGCGCATCTTGCTTCGTCCTGGCTCGAATGAAGCCGACTTCATCGCTGGCTCGGCGAACCTCACCGAACCAGCGTACGCCGACTTGAACGGTGCCATCTACAACCGCCACGGACACGCTTTGTCCATTCCCGACGGGTTCGACGTCGAGCAATGGGGCGCGGCGGGTGACCTCGTGCCCGTGCGGTGTCCGCACATTCCGTCGGCGTGCGCCATGGCCACCACGATCCGCGAGTGCAAAGCCGCGAGCGACTCGATTGGCGGCGTTGTGACGTGTGTGATCCGGAACGCGCCGGTCGGATTGGGCGAGCCCTGCTTTGACAAGATGCAGGCCATGTTGGCGCACGCGATGCTGTCGCTGCCGGCCGTCAAGGGGTTCGAATACGGCTCGGGGTTTGCAGGCACCCGCATGCGCGGGTCCCAACACAACGACCCGTTTTGTGCCTCGTCGGCTTCTGGGGCGTTGGGCGTGGCCAAGAACGATGCCGGCGGCGTCCTCGGCGGCATCTCGTCGGGTGCCGACATTTACTTTCGCATTGCCGTCAAGCCCGTGTCCACGATCGGTCAAGCCCAATCCACAGTCGACTACGACGGACAAGACACGGTGCTGGAAGCCAAGGGCCGCCATGACCCGTGCGTGTTGCCGCGCGTCGCGCCGCTCGCTGAAGCCATGGCGGCGCTCGTCCTCGCCGACCTCGCGTTGGCCCAGCTCGCTCGACAAGGCTCGGTTGTTCTCCATTGATCGCATTGAGTAATGATAAGTCAAGTCGGCTCGGTTCTCAATCGATATTTACTTACTCCCTTGAGTGATATATATACATCGAGTCTGTACGATTGGGGTGAGGATGATGCATTGGAATCACGACGAGCAGCAGCGCGGGGATAAAACTATAGACCTACAGTAACGACGGGGGATATACTGTACATACAGTATATATACAGTAGGTTATAGGTTTTAGTGAACAAAGTATACTGTGTGCATGTATGTATAGACAATTCGACTTTTCCCGAAAAAGGCTCAAATCAAGCGACATCTTTCATTAGTATTTTCGATGGAATCGTCGTCGTGAACGCAATAATGTTAACGTAAAAGTCCAATTTAAGAACACTTTTTCCGAGACGCTGCCGTGGAAGGCATGTAACTCGACTCGTCGGTATCGGATTATAATTCTACAATATGTTACATGAAGCCAAAATCCAGGCCTATTTGGGAGTTATGAATGCGATATGATTCCTGTTATAATTCATTCTCATTCACTCCACTTTGTCCACAAACAGCTTAAAACAACCGGTCCAATTTAAGGTGCACCATTTTGAGCTTAGTCTTTGTATTGTGCTTTCGAGTGAAATTTCGTGTTGTGGTTTCTGGTTGGAATTTAAATCGATTTGATTGGCTACTTCAGGTGAGCTCAAAATTATTAGCCAATCAAAACCCATTTCTCAATGAAATTCAACCAATCAGATCGATTGTGGATCGGTTTGGCCCCTCCCCAAATTTGTGCTATCAAATCGACAATAGTGACTGTACGATGATATTGTTACCAAAAGTAGTACTAGGACGGTACACATGCCAACCCTAGACAAACAAATTCTCCGAAAACCATAACAGTGGTTTTTAAGTTAATAGCGTTTCGACTTGGTACATCACGACATGTCAACCACGAGCATCGAGAGAAATTCGGCTTTGAACGCGTCCATGTCGTCGCGCATGGACTTGTTCCATGCGGCACTCGACTCGCGCAGCGTTGCCATCGCCCGCTGGGCGTCGAGGCGCTGGGCGGCCACCGACGCCATCAGGTCCGCCATCGCCGCCTCCATCGCGCCTTCCTTGGCCTGGAGGTCGTGGAACGTGCGCGCCACGGTCATGTCGAGCTGTTCCAGCTCCACGAGCAGACCGCCCCGTTGCTGCAGCGCCAGCGCACTCAGAACCGCGCCCGTCACAGTGTACAGCGCAAACAAAACACTCGCAAACGTCAGCCACGTCACGACCGTCCCCACCACGGATCGAAGCACCGAATATGTTGAATTCGATAGAGGGATTTCGTCTTGATCGTGTGTCAGCAACGGCGCAACCAACGACGACGATGGCGGCGGAGGCGAGGTGGATCCATCGGCATCGTTTATTGGTTGGTTCGAACGGTGCAGCAGGTCGTGATGTCTACCGTCGTCGTCCATGTCGTCGTCCGAAGATGACGACATGGACGAGAACGACGAGGTCGATTCGGCAGTGGACGCGTCCAAATGGAGGCGGCGCCCCGGCGGCGTCTCGATGGACGTTGGAGTCATGCGAGTGGCTGTGGGTGTGCGCAAGGGGGTGCGGACAGCGGGCACTGGGGACCCAAACTTGTGGACGAGATGGGATGTGAGGCGGGCGGTGGCATGCTCATGGATAAAACTACTGCGGTGCCGCGGCGACGGAATGTCCACTAGGGTCTCCATATGCTCGTCCCTGTGCATATTGGGAGTGGGTCAGCACGATCAACCTCCCGTGAAACATCTATATTGGAGGCAGACCAGGTATCAGCAAAGACGCAAAACGCGTCCCGCGCGGCGGCGCGTACAAGATGGTTCTTGTCATGCAAGGCATTGTGCAGCAACGTTTTCAATCGACCAAAATGGGGGTCGAGTTCGGGTTTTGGCCACGACGTTAGGATCAGAGGGACCTGCTTGACAAGAAGGCAGCGCGATTCTTCTGCAAGATGGAAAGGACAATGACCTGTGAGCGCACGGACGATGGATATATAGTACCTGCACGGAGGGTGTCGAAAAGGTGGCAGAGTTCGACGACGCTGTAGCGGGAACGGGTCGACAGCACGGCCAAGCAGTCTTCCCCGGCGCGACTGAACACCTTGGTCTTGATTCGAGCCGTGTGAAGTAACGAGAGGAGAACTTGGTTCGAGAAAGGTTCAAATTTGGGACCACATAGCGTCGCAAACCGGCCGATGACACGGCATGTCGTCTTGACCACTTCAGACCGGATGGAAGGAAGCAAACCGTCGATGAATGGCTACACACACAGCATATTGAGAGTATGATCATGATGAAGTAGGTTTCGTAGTGACAACAAACGTACGGCGAGCGGCAGAACATACTCCAACACAAGATCGATGTTGTCGTCGTTCAGTTGATCGTTGCGGTGCAGTTCGTCCAGCACTTCTTGAAGATCCAACAGCTCCTGAACTTGCAGTTTCCAATCGCCCATCATCTCTAGTGCATGGAAGCAGCCTCGAGCCTACACATACGTTAGACATTGCTGAAGGAAGCGGCAACATCCCACCTGGTCGCGCACCGAGTCCATGTTGGCGGCTTCGACGCTCATTGTGAGAGCAGATTTCAAAATGTAGTTTTTTAATAAATGAAGTGATATGTACCATTTTACATACCAATTTCAAGATACCCAGAGGTATTTTATATATATGTTTCACTCGCAATTCTGTTTGTCAAAAAGACATTATTTATATCCAATCAACGGCTCCACGTGACGGATAAACCATTTCAAAAGATACTACCTTTACTATTAATAAGTACTTGAAGTATTATTACTACACCTTTTTTCGAGATTAATTTCAGGACCTCACCATACTTTTTCGCGAAATAAACAACCAATTCGCGGCGGTTCCACTTCCTTCGTTGTATATTCGTTGTTATATTTCGCCTGCAACCAAGTAGGTTGCAGTATACTAGTATTTCAAGCGATGTTCCTTATATTTCACTGTGTATGGGCTCAATTCAGCGAGTGCTCAATATATTTCGGGGTGCAATCGATATATTTCAATAAAAAATGTAAATCAATCTGAATTTCGACGTAAAATGCAATTGTTGGTCGATCAGGCGGCAACTTCCATGTCGTCCATGTTCTCCGCGGCCTTGGAAGTATTCGAGCAGCAACGAGCAACGCTGCAGGCGATTCACGTCGACATCTGTAAATGTATAAGTTACATTTTCATCGACGATCCATACCTGCAATGACTTCGTCGGCGATGTGCTCAAGGTAAGCCATACGAAACTCGTCACGAGTTTGTCCGTCAGGACGAGGTCCCATAAACGCAGCAAGGCGCTCGCGCAGCAACGTCTTGCTGTGGCTCTTCATTGTGGACCAAAGATTCTCGATTGGGTCGGCGGCGTGGCTAGGACACGTCAACTAGGTGCATAGGGTATGTATTGGAACGTACTGTGTGGCTTGCGCTGCGGGAGGGGATTGTTTCATCGACCGTCGTTTTGAAGAATGAGCGAAAAGCCCGCGAGATCTTCGGTTGAAGTGATTCCTTTCTATTTTTTATTGAAATATATCGATTGCACCCCGAAATATATTGAGCCACTCGCTGAATTAAGCCCATACACAGTGAAATATAAGGAACGTCGCTTGAAATATACTGCAACCTACTTGGTTGCAGGCGAAATATAACGAATATACAACGAACGATGTGGAACCGCCGCGAATTGCTTGTTCATTTCGCGAAAAAGTATGGTGAGGTCCTGAAATTAACCGAAAAAAGGTGTAGTAATACGTAGTATGAGGGTAGTATCCCTCATAATTTACAAATACTACGAACTTAGTACTTTTAGTGATATTGCATACAACTGGTATGAATGAGCTTATGCATACAACTGGTAAGAATGAATCTCATGCATACAAATTGATTACTTTACGAGTCATTACGTATAGCTTTGCTTGCTTTACAATGAACTCCAAAGCTTGGCACAGCGTCATGGCATCTACTATTAAAAGTTCTTCAATTTGTCGTAATTGTATCATTTTGAATAAAAATACAGGTCTGATGCTGATTTTAATTAAATTGCTATACAAACTTTTATTAATAGTATAAAATATACAGTTATATAATGGTACATGTATACTTCGAAGTATATGTACTCATTTATACATCATTCGGTGATAGTGGAAGTAAAAAATAAAATACTGACTGTTCAAAACAAATTCGGGGACCAACTAAAATTAATACTACTACGTAGTACTATTGTGCTTTGCAACTTATTTGGCATAATCGACCTCAAATCTGCCGATAATTACGGACATCGTGACAGATTTATGTGCGGGCGAAGCTGATTTAGATGAATTCGGCCGAGATACTGTAGAAATATGTCATACCCAGATTTATGAATCTTTGCCCAGAATTGCAGTTTGAAGCTGCAATTCTGGCTTGAAACTTGTTATTCTACCCGACGTCAAAGTTGAAACTTGGTATTCTGGTTGACTTCAAAAGTAGGTCTTGACTGTGAGTAGAACGGTGTTGGAGCTTGGAACTGGACCAGGAGAAGCCAATAATTGTTTGTAATTAATGAATGCGTTGATTGCGGGCTCAACACACGCTCGTAATGATTGACATGCACTGCTGTCCTCTGTAGCAAACTTAAAACGAGGCAGATTTAGTGTTTAACGTAGAGTTCCAATTTAAGAGACATGGGACAATTTAACGGATTCAGCCAATCACCACCTTGAAATTTGTGTAGCAATAGATCTTGGGATGAATAAATACCTTTTTAAATTAATACCCACATGCATCCCATGTGTTTTATACTACACCATTTTGCGCTTAATTTCAGCTATTTTTCAAAATATTTCTACTAACCTCCGATATATTTCACCTAATCGCCAATATACTTCACCCAACCTCCATTATATTTCACGCCGACGTAAAATATCGCCGTTATATTTCACCCAACCTGCATTATAATTCACCCAACCTACGGTTAATTTCACCTTTCGAAAATATATTTCACCTGACCACCGGTATATTTCATGGAAAGTAAATTAAAACCAACCCACGCAACATATCTGCGACATCTACGGTTCAAGCACCAACGTCCATGTCTTCCATGTTTTCAGCACGGACATAAAACGGTTCAAGGCAGGCCGTGTACACATACAAACGATTCGGCTCAATTCCTAATTCATTGTTGAGTTACATCTTTTAAGTCTGTCCGTCTGGCGGTAGCCCCATAAAGGCCGCGACTCGTTCGCGCAAAGATGTCTTAGTGCGACTCTTCAACGCCGGCCACATATTCTCGATCGGGTTCAACATCGGGGAGTACGGCCCTAGTTTTAAGAGCGAAGCGTCTTGACACGTCATGTTAGCGGTCAACAGAGAGACGTACCGGAGTTTGTGGTGCAGGGATGGCCTCTTCCATCGAGCTCAGATTCAAAAATGGTGAAAGCGCGCGAAACTCTTCGCGCGCTTCGATCTTTCTAGATTCCCAGCTCGAATTATAATGATTGTTAGGTGAATTATATTTTCGAAAGTTGGAATTAACCGTAGGTTGGGTGAAATATAACGGCGATATTTTACGTCGGCGTGAAATATAATGGAGGTTGGGTGAATTATATTGGCGATTCGGTGAAATATATCGGAGGTTGGTGGAAATATATCGGAGGTTGGTGGAAATATATCGAAAATAAGCTGAAATTAAACGCAAAATGGTGTAGTTTAAATCAATTGAACAATTGGCTCTATAAATACAAGACCCGTTGAGGTTGAATATATACCTGATATAATATTATACCCTAACTACAAAACATGTAATACTACGATCAAGTTTAAAATATCTCCCTTAAATTGTTCCCTACTTCGTTTCCAAACAAAATACCCGAAAAGTACTTTTCGGGTATTTTGTTTGGAAATTGGGACAATAGGACATGATAGATACTGTGAAAATCGAAGTTTCAGTGCTATACCTGGAAAGACCTGTGTTTCCTATTGGATTATCAGTTTTCAGAAGTCAAAACCCATTCCTCAGTGCCAAGCTGCTTCCATTTCCCAGCAGCGACTACTCCAAAATATGCCTCTTAAATTGGAACTCTACGTTGTTATCATTCCCACCCATATTAACGCTAAATCTGTCCCATATTAACATTGTAAGCTTGCGTTTTGACAGAAATCTAAATCATGTGAAGCTGAGTAAGAGTCTAAATACTATGACTGCCAAATAAGTTGCAAAGCACAATACGTACTACTAATTAGTAACGTTAATAGTATTATCAATAGTTCTAAGCACTGCAATACTATTAATAGTAATAATTCTAGTAGTTACTATTATTAATACTCCGGAGTACGTAGAGTAGGCAGTATTGTAATACTATATGTTTATAGTGTTATCATTCATTGCGACATATTTTCACTTGATCCCAGTATGTCGGGAAAATGATCTTTGTGTCCCACTCTGTCAGCAGTCGGGATTTTACATCGCCCAACGCACAAGTCCATCATCGACAACACCGCGACGCCCCGCCGCCGTCGCTGACTTGGAAAGGATGGATTGGTACGAGTCTTCGGGTGCACATGTGCTTGCAGCCCGAAGTACCGTCACGTATCACGAATTGTGCACACGGGCGACCTCTCCAGGCGCAGTCTTGGAGGCGGACTCTCGTCAGATCGACCTGGACGTCCCTCGCACCGGCGTGTCCTTGTATCGGTTTGTTTTGCACGAAGACGTGAACGAAGACGTCGATTTGGACCTGTGTCCACTCGCTCCCCACTTTGACGCACTCAAGCGGATCCTGCTTGCATATTCGCTTCGGAACATGCGTGTGGGGTATGTTCAAGGTCACGCCGACGTGGTAAGCTTCCTCATGGGCCTCACCTCGTCAACTGCAGACGACAAAGCTGGACAATACGACGACGAGCAAGTGTTTTGGATCTACGCCGTCTTGATGGAGCGCATCTTTCCGTCGGACTTCTTCGCCCGCATGCCGAAACTGCAAGGGTTCCACGTCGACATGGACGTGTTTGCGCGGTTGATTCAATCCAAGGTCCCTGCGCTGGCGTCCGTGCTTGCACCGGTACACGTGTATCCCTTCCGCCGTCATCGTGTTGTCGTCGTCTCATGGTATCTTTCTTGGTAGGACGACCTGCATGTCCTTTCTTCGCTCCTCGCGTCCAAGTGGTTCATGACGGTATGGGTGGGGGAAATCCCACTTCCTGCGTTGACTGGATATTGGCACTACATGCTTGTGGGCAACGTTGAAACGAGTTCCGTCGCGCACTTTATCATGGCGCTGAGTCTCTTGGAACTGGCCACCGACGCCATTCTGGCTTCCGTCGTACGTATTCTATCTGTCCACGTTTGTTTGCATGTCGATGTTCTATATGTGGTTGATAGCGCGAGAACGACGGCGACGCGAGTTTTGGGTACAAAGTCGCGCTCGAACATGCGGCCCACGTCGATGCCGACACGATTTCGTCGCTTCTTCGGTTCAACAAGTACATGCTCACGGACGCGGTTGTCGAAAGCATGCGCGCGGACGTTCGATCGAACCCGCACTTCATCGAGCAAGAAGTGTGCGCGTTGCACGGCATCACGCACTTTGATCGGTCGCAGCTGGAGCACCTGCAAGTGGAGTTTCAGTTCCTCGTCGCGACCTCCCACCACCCATCGTCGTCCTCGTCCACCACGGCAACTACTACTACTTTAGCGATGGGTCCAACGTCCGTCGCTCGTCGAAGCCAGACGATTGCGGCCGATGGCATCAACAAGGACGTGTTGCGCCAAATCCTCGTTCGCGTGATTCCCGAGGTATATATATATATATACCATTATCGGCTACAGAAACACCTGTTCATAAATACTGTTATTGTCTTTCTTTTACCCAATATTTGGACGACTCACTTTTGGATGTAAACATCGTCCAGTGTCACACTAATTGAAGTCACACACTAATTCGATGTTGCATTGGTCAAAGAATAGATGATTTGATTGGCTACTGGATTCTTGATATCTGGGTTTGGATTGGTCGATATATCGATTGTGTGCCGATTTGGTTCTTCTGCTCATTCAACTCGACTATAATTTCGAATATCTTGACAATATATTAATATCGTCTTTTCTGTAGTGGTCGCATGCAAGCGCCGACCAGTTGTTCCGCGTGCTGCAGCCAGATGCCCGCGGCAACATTGACTTTCAACGACTTATGCTGGTACACACAGTACATGTTGTGGATACCATATTATTGTCCAGTCATTCAACGCCACTTATATATATATATATATTTAAATTTATATATATTTAAATTAATATATATATATTTAAATTTATATATATATTTAAATTAATATATATATATATTTAAATTAATATATATATATATTTAAATTAATATATATATTTAAATTAATATATATATATATATAAAGATATTTATACAATGACATATATACACATAGTACATGTTGTGGATACCATGTACTATTATTGTCGAGTCGTCATGTACCTATATAATATATATATATATTAAAATAGTTATACAATGACATATATATATTTTAAATAAGTAAAACAACTGTGGCACCCCTTCATTCGTTGGTGTAGGCGCTGTCCGTGTTGTGTCGAGGCAGTACAGAAGAAAAGATGCGGCTGTGCTTTGACTTGTACGATGTCGACAAGAGCGGGTACCTGTGCGTGGAGAAGATGATCAACATGGCTGCGTCGTTGTGTGAAATCTACCAGAACAAAGTCGCCCCCGTCCCGTTGGTTGTGCTTGCGCCGCCAAATGCGCCGGCGCCGCGCCGCGCGTCCGCGTCGGCCCATGGCGTGAATCAGGGCGGGGAAAGCGATGCCCCCGCCAGTGGACCGACGAGGCGCAAGGGTCGGTCGTGCAGTTCTGACGCAACGCACCGCTGGAACTCGCCGTCGTTTGGATCGCTCTGTGATGGTGTTGACCACAGGCACGACGGCGATCCCGACGAGTACGAGGCGTCATTGCTGGACCGGTACGGCATGCTCAAGAGATGGCACGAGTAGTTAGTTGGTCGTATGTATGTGATTAGGTTTGATCGGGTGTTGCCCGTGGCGTTTCTGCACAAGTTGCTGCGCATGGACGTGGACGGAGACCACAAGCTGTCGTTCAAAGAATGGTCGCAGGGCGCGAGGACAGAGCCCCTCATCCTACGATGCTTTGAAGACGACGTGACTAGTGTGCAGGACCCGCTGTTGGCCCCGTCGGCGCATCGACATCGCCGGTCGTCCCGGGGTAGCGACATGCACCACCGGCGGCCGCGGCGACGCAGCAACAGCTCCGACTGCCTGCCGCTGCGGTCCACTCCGCCATCGCCCTCGGACAACTTGGCGTTGTTGTCGTCGACGCCGTCCAAGCGAAAAGACGGCGGCCGCATCTCTCTCCTGTCGCCGACTTGTGAGTTTCACCAGTTTTCCAGCGCCATTCAACGGGCATCCCAGCAGCCTGTCGACAAGTCGGCCACGGAATCGCGACCATCGCCGCCTCCCGCCTCGCCCCAGACGCCGCCTACCAAACGATCCATGTGCGAAGGCTGTGTGATCTTGTGATAACGCGTGGTGGTAGTAGTCCATCAGTCATCGTATTTAATTAATCCAAGGAGTCCTTGCGCTTGCGTTTGCTCTTGGTCGATCCACCGCCGGTTGAATTGGTCAAGCAGTGCTGGCGTTGATACGCAACCAAGTTCTGGACAAGTCCCGCCTGCCGCCGTGCGGTGAGCATGACGTCTTCGGGGGAGATGGTCCGGCGGTTTGCGTGGTGGGCAAAATGCTGGAGGTCGTGGGCCACGAGCTCGAGCTGTTTCATCGCAACCTCGGTCAACACTTGCAAGGCGTCCGGAGATAGCGTTGGTCGCAAGGACCTACTGGTGCTCGAGGACGCATATTCCGCACTGACACTGTCCCGCGTTGCTACTTCTTCGCAGATGGAACTCACGGCAAACAACATCGCTCGGCGTTCTTCCATGATTGCGCCGTTAGTTCAATCTTACTTGGCTTTCCAAAGAATTCAAACATTTTATCCAATCACATGCACTCTGCAATAATGTCGGATAGTCCTGTATCTATGTTTCTTTGGGTACGGGAGTATACGGAATACTAGTTCGTGCGTATAGTTTAATTATTTTCGTCATAATACATACAGTATTCGAGTTGTAAATTCAAATTATTAAAAATACATTGAACACTGTTTTTTTCCAGAGTATAAACAGTGATAGTTGCGAATCTTTCCGGTCGTCATATCCGAATTGTGTGAACGTGAGTGATGGGTCGAATGCTTTCTTCGGTGACGGCGGCGGCGGCGCTGTGGGTCGTCGCGGCATTTCTCTTGGCTGGCGTGAATGCAAATGGAGGTGCTGAGTTACTGACCGAAGACTCCTTTGATGCCCGTACGAGCAGCGGCGGCGTCTGGCTAGTCAAGTTCTACGCTCCCTGGTGCGGCCACTGCAAGTCCCTCGCGCCCATCTTTGACAAACTCGTGTCGGACGAAGCTCTCAAGGTACGTCATCAAGATAGATTGTCCTCTAGGTTTCGCGCTTTTTGATGGTCATGTTGGATGCAGGGACAGGATGTGCATGTGGGCAAGGTGGACTGCACCGTGCAAAAGACCGTGTGCCAACGCTTCGACGTTAAGTCGTACCCCACGCTTAAAGTCATCACGAACAGCTTGTCCTTTGACTATGCCGGTCGCCGTGATCGCGACGCGCTGGTAGAGTTTGCTCTCGGGGGATACAAGGTTGGGACATGTACTTTCCGAGGCAAACCACATAAAAACACGTATGCTTCTGTGTAGTCGTCGCTTGGCGAAGACGTGTTGTCGCTCGCTCAATTCCGTACGCGTCGTCTGCATACATCTGTCAACACGTCGTCGTCGCTCATCGTCTCATTATCGTAGAGGAAAAAGCCCGCCGCGAAGAGCAGGAACTCGTCGACGCGGAAAAGGCGAGCTTGGTCGTGACCCTGTCGTCCTCGTCGTTCGACGACCATGTTCATGAAACGTCTGAACCGTGGCTGCTCAAATTCTACGCCCCATGGTGTGGCCACTGCAAGCGACTGGTGCGTCCTTCACGTACCTATCTTATGGCTGGCTCACATCAATCCATGAGGCCACAGGCGCCCGTGTGGGATAAATTGAGTGCCGACTTGCATGCCAAGCACGACTCCACGCGCGTCGGCAAGGTTAGCGCGTCCCCGATCGCAACATCTCGGATCCGTCACCGCCCATTTATATGTGTAGGTCGATTGCACTAAGCACCGCCGCGTCTGTTCTCGCTTCAACGTGAATGGGTACCCGAGTTTGGTGTACGTGCGCAACGGCCAAGTGTATCCGTACGAAGGCGCGCGATCCCTCGAAGGGTACTTACTGTATTGACCTGCGATTCCGATCGTCATTCTGACTGAGAGTGATGGTCGTAGGTTCCACGAGTTTGTGACAACGGGGTACTCCAAGGTCGAGTCCACGGGCCCGATCCCAAATGAATCGTTTGTGGGGTCGATTGTCGATACGATTCTGGTAAATACCCCCCCCCCTACCTTGTGTCGTTGGAAAGCAAATCAAATTCTGCATGTTGATGATCATGCATTGATTTGGGCAGGAATGGGCAGTAGAGCACACGATTTGGGCTGTGTTGGCCGGCATTCTGGCGCTCGCGCTCATCGTAGCGTTGCTCGTGGCGTTGCTCGACTATTGCATGGGCGACGAAGAGTACCAAGTGCCCCATCACCGCCTCCAGGAAGCGGAAGCGCTGCTGCAGCAAAAAACGGACGACCAAAAGGTTGTGGACGGCGAAAACAAGACCGATTAACTCCCACAAGTCAATCCCCGTTGTTACGACGGGGTTTCACATCGAAGCAGATGATTCAGAGTTGAACCCCTTCATGGGCGAGGGAGGGATGGTGTTACTTCAACACCAGGGTGTTATGTTTGGTATCAAGTGCGTATGATTCTAGTGATGGGAGTCTGGTGTGGAGGTGGTCGCTTGTGGAGAAGGAGCTCGTGGCTGGGGGTGGGCTTGGGGATGGCATGGGGATTGCTAGTCCCGATGGGGGTCACTGTCTTGGTGGTGGGGGGGGGGGGGGGGATTTTTATTATTATACACCTACGCGGCACTGGCAAAACTCTAGAGGGCAGCGTGTACCTCCTTTCATCGTTGGTGGATCGTGCTGGCGGGCGCGATAAAGTCGGCGCCTTGCACTCAAGTACTTGCACATCGACGTCAGGTTCAATGTGCGGAACCAGAACGTACTGGGTGTACGAGCCATAGTTTGCGATCCACTGGCGCGACAGTACTTACATAGCCCCCTCGGCGCCGATCAAGGCGGCGGTCGCATCCTTGACCAGCAGTTGGTACCGATTCCTGAATTCCTGTGGCAGGGCGTCGTGGCTGTCCCATACAGCCACACAACACCGGCGCCGCATTCGTGTGGATATCCATGACAGCGTCGTGTGATATTGCTTGGCTCTTGAGCCACATGTTCAACGTGGTTGTGTTGGTGGAATAATGAGGGGCGGTACTCATCGTCAAGGGGGCGAATATGGTCGTTGCGGGGGAACAGTGGTGGTGGCTTGGGCACCATCGATAGTAGGTAGGGTAGCTGTCGTGGTCAATATGCGTAGTAGTGGAAGACTCGGCATTTGTGATGACAGCAGCGGCAGTGGTGGTCACATGGATGGATTATGCAATTGGATGGGTTTATATGTGGACTTTTGGGGTGGAGCTGCTGCGATGGAGGGGGCGGCGGTGGTGGTCTTAACAGAGTACGATCATCACAGCCTTAGGAGGAGGCAAGGGGGACCCAGGTTTCAGCGCTACCGGTATGGTGGTGTGATGACCACGGTACTCTGAAGGAATCACACCACGTCGAGGCCAGAGTTCGACGTCTTATTGTAGTGGAGTTCCAAAGGCAGGGGTATACCCCAAGGACATAGCTAGCATCGGCATGATTTTCACAATCATTATGGGTTTGAGGGTGTCGATGCACACTTCCGCCAGTAAATGCACCTCAAGTGCGCCAGGAAAGTATCTTTCTTCCAGGGCTGGGATTAGTCCAACCAATTCTGCGGGCTCCTCACCGTGGCCAGCAATGCGGCAATCGAGAACCACATTAACCCCAAACGGCCGAGATGTACGTAGAACGCGTCGTTGGTTTGCGATACAGTACAGTACACCCGAGTAGCTGTACTTGTCGACGAGAAAGAACACGAACGGGCTGGCTACGTACGATTAAACTCGACGGGTCTCCTACCAGAAATTCAAACTGCACCGCCTCGAGCGACGTGTGGATTTTGTGCGAGCGAAGGAAGGGTTGTGTGACGCTAGAAATGTGGTCGACGTAGTAGTGCCACAAATGACAGGAAGATATGTACTACCCCCAATTCGAATGCATGCCGACAACTTCTCGAGTAGCCACGCCATCAAGTGACGAAGCGGAATAGGTAGGTAATCGCGTCCAGCCACACGACAGACGAGGATTTAGACTGGCCAAACAGGACTACCAGTATGTCCCAAGCCTGGGAGACACTGGTAACGACGCGTTCGAGCACACCACAGCCCACTGATATGCAAGCCCCGGGAAAAACCAGAGTACACGACGCGATGGAGGAGCGTCAATGTCAAGCGTAGCACCTCAACGTTGTTTTGGCTGTTGTGGATGTACGTGGCAGCACCACGTAACGTCATGTGATTGTACACTTGGTCGAACTCAAGGTCTCAGTCCATCTTTGTGGACATTTTGAAGGATGAAGTGTCCTGCATGTCGACAACAAGCGATATGCATGACGTGGGGTTTCAAATCGAGACAATGTGTAGACATACACTTCAAACGGCAGCACGAGGACATTGGCAAATGCCTAGGCACTAATTGATTGACGCAGCGATAAGGTGAGTTTTGGTACATGTGTATGTGCGAGGTACTGCATGTTGTGCGACCTATTTTGAGAGACTTGGTATCGTTGTCGCGGGGATAATGTGGTGGTCCTCATGTTGTCATTGTTGTTGCCTTTGATATATATGTACATATCCTACACTAATAGCTCTGCCCTGTATGTACTGTATTTTGTGTTGCCATTGCCAACGCTACTCTTGGGAAGGTCGGCGGCAACCATGATGGAATGTCAACAGTCCATTGTCACGCTTGGTAATATCTACGGTAGTAATGGATTGCAAAACCAAAACCGCTATATATAAATAGGACTTCTAGCCCACGTTCCCCAACCTGACTGGCACCATGACACCTCACCCACGGCCCGTGACGATCAATCACCGATCAGCATGGCTTAGTGGCTTTTACCTTGTGAACCTCGTGTGTATGCCATTCTTGGTCTACCTCACAGAAGTGTCGCCCTTGGCCATCGTGCATCGACAGAACCAGCCCCCGTTTCCCCTCGCCCCTGCGATGACGCACGCCCTCGCCCAGCAATACGTGGCACAATTTCAAATTCTTTACAACGTGACAACCCTCCCGCGCAACACTGGGTACGTGTACGACCGCGACCGCGTCGTCGACGTCATGCGCACGGTGGTCTCGCCCTCGGACTGCGCTAACCCCTCGACCCTGCTAAACGGCATCTTGGGGGTCGCGTACTTCACCCCCGACGCCAAGAGCGCCGTCTTGAGCTGCGTGTGCGGCAACACGACGACTGTCGACGTGCGGCGGGCTTGGCGGTTGAACTTGATCGTCGCACCGTCGTCCACCAACGCCTTGTGGATTGTGCCGGGCAACGACCTCAACGGCCACATGGGGGCGAGCTACACCGTGTACTACCTTTTTGTACCGGACAAACTGTCAGCCCCGTGGCTCATAGCCAAGCTTGTTTACCGCGGGTTACTCAGCGTGGCCATTCTTGGCTTGGCACTGAGAGGTTACTACCGCCATATTCGGCAATTGCGCACCGACTTGACGCGGTTCCCCCTGCAGTCCCCCACTACAAACGGCAACGCCATCGCCCGATACGATGTGGTTGTTGGCGAGCCGTCGTGTTTGATCATGTCCAACCCGTGGGTGTGCCTGGCCTTTGTCGCAGATATTATCGCGAGTACTGAATACATGGGCCAAAGCTGTCTCCGCCTGTGCCAGACCCAAAGCCTAATCTACTTTGGCATGGCGATGGTATACCTAGGTCGCCTCGTGTGGTGTGCGTACGGCACGTTGGTGGCTCACAACGCCGTCCGGAAGAGGTGGAAGTGGACCGCGCTGTCGTCACCCGTCGACTCGACGCAAGTGGTGGTGTTGGTGTACTTTGTGGGGGGGTTCCTCACATTTGTGCAGGCGTTGTGGCCAGCGCTCATCAGCGTGTACACGTGGCTGTTTTGTCTTGACAGCATCGAAGCCTTCGACGCCCCCGACCGCCGCCTTGTGGCCATGAACATCGCCCTCGTGATATCTGTGTATTTGCTCACAATATGCGGCACGCCGTACATTGTTACGGCGGGGACGCAGTTGACTCGCTTCCTATTTCCCCGAGGCGTGGGCTACTCGTGTCGAAAGGTCCGGCACTCTGTGTCCCAGCAGCGCGTGGGCGGGAGCCGGCGTCTTTCACCAGCCCGATCGCCCGACTCGACTAATTCCGCGGTACTTTCCATGCTCGACAGAGTTTATGTGACGTGGTGTTGTGTAGACGCTCGCAGTGCTGCGTCCGCCAGCGTTACTGACTCCCAACGACACGAAGGGCTATATTCGCCAGTGGTTTTGCCCGATACAAGGCAGTACGTTCATCTATTTTCTTATTGGACGCACTTTAATGCGATAACGTGCCAGGTGTGGTATGTGTGGGGGGGTCGATGTACCAACTGTTCCATGCCCATCCAGGGATGTTTCAAGTGCAAGGGACGATCAACCAGACTGCGAGCGACTGTTTTGTATGCGGGTACGACAAATCGGATGTCCTCGTCGAGGTCGTGTGTGTGAGTTTGGTGTCGCAAGTGGACTTGACGCCGCACAAACATGACGGTCGAGACGTTGTCACATATTTGTCTCGATCGATCGACTCGATTGGGTGCGGCACCACCACCGTCCGCAACAACCCCGTGACTGAGTTTGCCGTGGGGAGGCTCGTGGTGGGAGAACGTCGGGACGACGACGGCAGCTGCGCTCCGTCGATCGAGCTGCGACGAGGCGCCAATAACTCGGCGTGGATCATGTAGACACAGAACGATCAATAGAAAAAAAACACTACTAGTAGTACTCTGGAGTGTACTGCTACTAGTATGTACCTATTCGTACTAAGTTTTCTTTGCTGACACAAGCCCCTACTTCAGCGACCGGTACTCCATCAAACTGGGAAAACCGTGAGCATGATGACGTCAGTTGAGCACTCGACGCATGTGTGGCGATATACATCACAAGTGAAAATAGGTCACTACGACAGTTTGAACCACCTCGATCGGCCTCACGTTGATCGAATGGTAAATATAGTATTACTTTATTATTACGGCACGAGGGATAGTTGGTAGCTGCTGCTTTTACGTTTGAGGGTACGTTTAGTCTTCGCTCTCTGTTGCTGGTTTGGGCCGATTCGACTTAGGTACCCCCCACGGGTTTGGCCAGCACGATGGAGCCCCGCCTTGCCCCGTACGACGACGACGACAACGACGGAGGAATCGAGGATATGCTGGGCGGCGGATCGCCGACCCCTCGGCGAGGACACTGTCCCTTGGTTTGCACGTGATGCTGTCGGAATCCATTCACGATCCTACGCACGACCACCATATTACAATACCCCCGAGCACAACTACTAGTACTAGTACTAGTAGTTGTTTGTCATCGTACCGGCGGTACATGGTGTTGCGTTGAATGGCGTTGTCATCGTAGGACGAGCCAAAGCGCATGGAGCGATCGAGGCGGTGGTGCATCGAGTGCGTGAGTGGGTTGATGTCTTCGTCCGTGTCATCCGCCATCATCGACGGCCGCTTGTCCAAACTGCTTTCAGTCGTGTCGGCCACATCCAGCCGCCGAAACCATTCGCGGCGGGCGGCGCGGCGATGGCATGCCGTAAGGCATCGAAAGATCCACCGGCAGAGCGAGAACACGAGCAGCGCCACCGACAGCACCAGCGTGATCATAATCCCCGCCTTCATCGTCTGAATCACATCCCACAGCAGGTCCACTTGCTCCTACCAACACACAAGAACTTCATAAATCACAACATATCGAGAGTCCACTAAGTACTAGTATTGTCAAATCGATCCAAACCTCAGCAGAAGAATCGAATGTGTTAGGAGAATCGATTAAAGAAACGCCTAAGCCAATCAAATCACGTCATGTCAATTTTCTGCCAATCCAAACGTTTGACCCCTCCTTATTGGGCAAAACCACATTTATATTAATAGTTGTAAAATATAGGATGTACAAAGATTAAATAGGATCAAATGGATTCGAATGAGATTTGGTGAAATGACTCTCAAGTCCAAATTTGGGCGAAATGCACAATACTACCTACAATAAACAACAACATATCGAGAGTCCATAGTATACTAAGTATTAATAGTAGTATTAATAGTAGTAGTAGTAGTAGTAGTAGGAGTAATAGTACAGTAGTAGTACCTGCAACGCCCGATTTGCTTGAACCAGCAAATGCACCTGCCTCGCCAAGTCGTCTGTACGGTTGGCCTGCCCAGACAGGGTTTCCCGTACTTGCCCCTTCTACTCACACACAGTGTCACACATAGTATCGTTTGATTGTATCGCAATTCCCACAACATATCCACGAGACTAGTGAGCTATATTCTATATTGCACATCAACCAACATCATGTATGAGTGTACCAGGGTGGCAAGGGCGTCTACTGCAGCGCTGGCTTGGGCTCGATGGTACTACAAGTGACTTTTGATCATTTACAATATTAAAAATATAAATAATATAAACAATAAAAATAAAAATAATGTACCTGCACGTCGACGGCATGGGTGCGTTGGAGGTCCAGCACGACTTTTTCCAGTTGTGTGACGTTGTTTTCCAACGCTTGTACTATATAATGGTTATTCCTGTGAGACTTGATAGCTCAGAACATAAGATTGAAGAGGTCGTACACTTTTTGGACATGCGAATATAAAAGTTGTCCAAACCGCCACCATTGGTGGCCACGACACTTGGCGTTGGAGCGAGCTTTCCTCCTTCATCGACGGCAGACAACATCGCGCCGCCTTCTTTCGGCCCATCGCGATGGATTTCAAGTGCTTTCGACAGGTCAGTGCCTGCGGCACTGTTGCTTTGGCTACCCGCAACGGTAGACGACGACGGAGAAGGCGTTGTTCTTGGCGGTGTGGAGGTAGTTTGGCTCTCATTCGAAGTGAACGGTGTCACAGAGGCCCCTGAAGACGTAGTAGCCGCAGACGTGGAAGTAGATGCGACGTCTGTTGAGGCATTGCTGCCGTTGCCATGTAGTCGAGCATCTGATTGGAGGAGGCACACCATGTTCTTGTTGTGTATATCAAGGTCGTGCGGGCCACGGGAGCTCGATATCACATCAAGAAAGAGCGCACGTGTTTCGGAAGGATCGGCATAACAAGCTGGCAATTCCAGCGGAACGTTGGGTGATGACGTGGCAGGCTGGGGTGTCGGCAGCGTCTGCGATTCGGCTGCTTCAATGTTCTTCTCCAATTGTGAAATCACTTGGGTAAATGTACGACCAAACACTCTATCAAAACACACAAGACAATCATTCGTATCGAGATATTTGAGATTGAAATGGCGAAAATTGCGATTTTTTTGGGAAAACAATCGAAAATTTTGCCAATTATATATATATATATATATCGTTTTGGACCTGATTTGACTCATGGTGCAATAGTACTCGGAGCCGTAATGCGACATCAGACGTAACTTGATGTATCGGACGTGATGCTTTTCGTGGAATTCAAACAACTGCTCGCCGTTATGGTTGGCCGCGGTGAAGTTGCCGAGGACGACCCATGTGTCGCTGGGGTAGTTGATGCTGCCCAGCACCTACACACACATGTGTAGCTCTTCCGTCAACGGGGGTCCTGGTACGAGGATCATCATGACGAGGGTACCAAGAATTCGCGGGTGGTAGAGCTGAACTTTTCGTAATTCGCAAGGGCAATCTCGTCGGCGTGGATGTCCTCCGACAGCGAAATCACGATCCACTTCTTCTCCGTGGCGCACGGAATGAGCATGTACCTATCCTTGTCCGGCACGAGCAGGTTCACGGACCCCTTTGTGCCAGGCGCGTGGTCCAGCACCGTCGCGCCAGAGTCTTTCGACGCATAGTTTTGGCGCTGCCCGCCGTCGCTGTCTTGAACCTCCTTGGACGAGTGACCACGATCCAGGAGATCAACGTCAAGCTCGGCAATGTTTTCCGCAATGTCGGTCGATGTGTCTTTTATGACCGTGGTGGGCGTGGTCGTTCGAGAGTTGGAAGCCAGTGGAGTTGGGGTCGGCCGAGCCTGTGGAGTGAATCCGACGGTTGGTGGTGTGGTTGTGGAACTGCTGCTAGCGCTGGCACTGTCGGTCTCATCGGGAAGGATGATGGCTTGCACATGCACGATGTAGAGTGACAGAGATAGCAGCAGGAGCCACTGCAGTCGCATCATGATGCGAGTCTGCCGTTTCTGTGAAGAAAATGCAAGTACTATGGTAAAGTGTTTTTTCACCCAATCAATACCGTCAAAGCGCAATCAGTTTCGCAAAAAACGACGAATATTTTACCAAAATGTCGAATATTCGGTTGAAAATTTATCGAATTGTAAGATCTCCAAAGGACGCACCATGCCGGTGACGTGGCAGCAAGCGGTGCGCAAGACGAGCGCGCTCCTCGCTCCACAACGACCGACGAGCCCTTCGAGTGAGATTCCCTTGGAATCATGAGCATGTGATGATGATTCTATGTGAGTAGACGATGCCTTGGCCAAGATCTCGGAGCAGGCGGCGCGGCTGTTGACGGATCTCGTCGCGTTCGTCGACATGCAATGCGGCAACGTAGCGTACTTGTACCGCACGGACGGCAATTCTTCGGAAGTCGAAGAGCTGTACTTGGCGTTCCATCGGCATCTGACCACGTCGACGGCGACGTTTGTCAATTTGCACGTGTTCAGCCCGCATGCGATCACGTCCACGATCAAAAAGGTAGTAGTACTCCACACACCCACACGACTGTCCATGCGAACGCTGCTGGTTGCCGTCCCCATCAACCCTGGCTTGTAGATCTTGCGACGGTACCAGCCATTGATGTCGTACAGCGTATCGCAAACCCTCGTGGACGAGAGTCCGATCACCGTCGCGTCGATCGCGAGTCAGTTTGGTCACGTCCGAGCCACCAGTCGCGATGTCTTGCGCGTATTACTATGTCATTGGAACCGCGTACGTTTCGCCAATGTCGTCACCATACTATATATTTCATACATATTTGCCGTAGATTTCCCAAGCTAAGCACATGCGCATGGACGTGTCCATGTTGGCGCAGTGCGTGGGACTGCTCGTCGTCCGTCCATGTGAAGACACGCGGAACCAACGTACGTTTGACTCCCTCGGTTTAATGCCATTTGCTCGTCCTAGAAATCATACTGCACAACAGGGACGGTCCTTAAAGCGAGGCAAAAAGTTGCGCGCAAGCTGATTCGAGGGGCCGACACTTGGCAGTACACAGAGGCCTCCCCCATCCCAAGCGATTTGCACTCGGCTGACAAGCCTTTGCAATATGCCGTGAAAGTGATGTGGCGCCCTCAAGATGGAGTCTTGTATGACGAAGAACGATTGCGAGTATGCTACAATAAGCACGGGGTTGAGTTGGTTCTGTGACGTTGTGATATACGTACTAGGCACAACTGGGGGCGTACGGCACGGTCAGTTCGATGGCGCTGCACCCAACCGAGCCAAAGTACGTACGTACAGTAGTACATACTCTGTCACATATATTCATATTGTCCTTTGACCCAACATGTGGTTGACTTTTGGGCTGAAATCTATCGATCGATAATATTTTGTACTGATTTAAAGATCGTCCACACTAATTGAAGTCACATACTACAATTCGATGGTGAATTGGTCGGATTTGATTGGCTACTTGATGTGTGATCTCTGTTTTGATTGGTCGTTTATCGATTTGGTTATATTTCGATTGAGCACTCCAAGTTCGAATCGACTTGGCAATAATGAACGGTGTCACACATGATCTCGTTTGGATTTGCAGGGCTCGCGTGTCCATGTATTGGAAAAAGGGATCGCAACTAGACAAAGTTGTCGTCAAGTTGCAAACCAAAGCGAGTTTGCATGTGTTGCGACTGCAAGTGATGATACCTGCGCTTAAGGCGGTAGAGAATACAGATGACGACGATAGCTCTAATCATGTGACTCATGACGCCCCCACGACCACCACCCAACCAAGCTCTAGTCATGAGCTACCACCTATTGTGGAAGCATTGGGTATAGCATGCATGCGTATATATATATATATATATATATATATATATATATACAACACACGAGTTACAGGTTTTGATAGATCAAGTTGTAGATACCATTGACGGGATCAGTACTACTACTACTGCCAAAGATACAATTGCCCCGATAGAGGATGACACTGGGTCGGTGGATGTGCTATCATCACAACTGCCACCAAAAATAGCTCAAGTTGGAGAGAAAGTTGGGTCTATGATAAGGGACAACCAACCACCAACCCCATCACACAACAACGTGGTTGAATTCACAGGCAAACGTGTGGCGTCAACGCAAACCAATCGACTGGATGGTGTCGACAGGCAAATTCAGACTGATGACGTGGCAGCACCAGAGACCGCCGTGATGGCCACTCAAACGGATACGTGGTATCCGGACGACAACGCCAAGATGGTCACGCACGTCCGGCGCGTGATTGAGGTACTCAAGAGGATGATATTATATATATGTGATGGTCAAGTGATAATATATAGTATTATGGTCCGCTTTGTAACGTACTAGTATTTGGTATAACGTTTCTAGTAATTGTTTGACCCTGTGCATATTCGAGTATGTATCTAGTTTCGCGTATATATATATATATATATATATTTGTATCGTGTTCTAGGTCAATGAGTGGATAAGATGCAGTACATTGCACCGCCAGCTTCATATATTTGTTTTCGCGTATATATATATATATATTGGAGTTCCAAATGACATGTACATTCCTATGCAGGTGTTGCGCACAACGACCATGGCGGCGGCGGATGACATGTCCAGCGAGACCATCCGAGCGATGCATCAAGCTCAGGTTCTCGTTCTGCGCATGTTGGAGGGGAGTGTGGCCGACCAGTCGCGTCCAGAGGACACGTCCATGGTGTTGGAGTACCAACGTGCGATGGAGGCTCATTTTCGATCCAAGGTTGAATACATATATCTATATCTATATATGTAAAACCCTCATATGTACTCTCTTCCGTGTATATAGACCAACGTACTTGAAGCCGAGGTGGTGGCATCGCAGGAACTGCTTCGAATGCACAAAGCACAGACTGCGCACCAGATGCAAGCTGCACGTAGACCTGTGCACTAATTATAATGACGATGATGATACTCGAGTCCTAATGTTGTTGGTTGTGTAGTGGCATGTGGAGATGACAGCGTGTCGGGTGGTGGCGCTCGAAGCGGACAAGCAGAGCGCCGACCTGCGCGAGGACCTGCGCGCGTGTCGAAGCGACTTGACGTGTCATTTGGCCATGCTCTCCCATCTCAAACGGTGGGTTCGTCAATATCGTGATCTGTTTGGATGGATCGTTTGTGTTTCTCGCTTGATATATATATATAATATATATATATAGACTTTGTTCTCTGGATAAGTCTATTGAGTTTAGAACGTTATGCTTCATTCTCGTGATCTATGTTTATTATATATACGTTGTTCTCTTGATATATATTTATGATATACTAGTACTTCGTTCTCTTGATATATATATACTGTATTATGCACTTGTGCTCTTGAAATATATATCTCAAGTTACTAGTACTTCGTCTCTTGATATATATATATATATATATGCAATATCAAGAGAACGAAGTACTAGTATATCATAAATATATATCAAGAGAACAACGCAGATAATATGAATGAAGCGTAACGTTCTAAACTCAATAGTCTTATCCAGAGAACAAAGTCTATATATATTATGCCTTGTGCTCTTGATATATATATATATATAATGCACTTGTGCTCTTGATATATATTAATTATATACTGAACTACGTCCCCTTGATATATACATATATATAATACTTGATTCTCCTGGTAGAATATATTATCATACTTCGTTATTATACACTTATTTGTTTTCTTGATACAACAATGGATTTTAAGCCACACCGAAGTTTCCATGTATATTGTGGCCAATCAGGTTCATCCATTACAAATCAGTTGATTTGATTTGTCATTGAAATCGAATTTCGAAGTATATAGGCCAATCCGAGTTGGAAATTTGAATTTACTTGGATTCAAACTGTGGCTTAACATCCATCGTTGTCTTGTCTTGTATATATATATATATATATATATATATATATATTATATATGCTTGGAAGTACACTATATCGTATAACGATGACGATCCTGGTAGGGACAATGCGGCTTTGCAAGAAAAGCTTCTAGTAGTCGAGGCAAAGGCGCAGAGTTTGGAGCGAGATAGTGAGGATCAAAAGGACCAAGTGCGGACGTTGCATGATGTAGCGACCAAGGCGCAGTTGCGAGTGGAGGCTTACAAGCGGAATGGTACGCTTTATAACGGTGGGAATGACGGTATTATATATTGGAGTGTATGTATATAGCGTCGCCTTGTATCTGTGACACTGGTTGTGTCAAGCAAGCAGGCGAGTGCACCGAAAAGATAACGTCACCATCGACAGCTGTGGACCACCTCGCCCAACTCAAACACGAAATGAGTCAGCGCTTGCAGAGCCAAATTGATTACACCAAGTAACAAGCTAGCTACATATTAGCTATGTTGTCCTTGATCATCGCTTGTATGTGAACGTTGTTGTATCTAGAGCTACGATTGACGCCATGCAACAGCACGACCCGACGACGGTGCACTTATCGCAGCAGCACCGCACGTTGTCGACTCTGGTGGCCACGCTTGTGGAAGGCGACAAGAAGACGACGACCGCCGCGTCCGAGCTCGCCATGGAAGCGTCCAGGCAGAAATTGAACAGCTTGATGGGGTCTTTCAGACAAGCACAACCGACGAGGACGGAGGTGCCGCCGTGGGTTGCGCATGCCGCGAAGGCGGTGCAAGGGACGCCGCCGAAGCTGTCGAAAGCGAACTCGGACTCGTTGAATGCAGCCAGACTGGCGCTTAGCAACTATCACCACGTAGTGGGGGGCCACAAGCGCATCTCGACTGGGTTGGCGTAGTTAGATAAAATGCCGAGTGGAATAGCAGGCTAACTAGCATATTGGTCGATCAACCATGTTCCAACCAGTACAAGTCCATGGAAAATCGTCAGGGCACAATGATGGGCGGGACTCTAGTAGAGCATTGCACAGACATGACACGAGTAAACAAGGCGAGTCGACAAGGACGTACATACAACAGTAGATAAAGGTCGAAGGGATGTTGTGCAGGTTAGAAATGCTAGCTAGCACCACGTGTTATGCAACGTCGATGGTAAACGCTCATGTATTGCTTGCGCGTTATTGGGCTCTGGTCCTCGGCATCTTGGTGCGTTCGCAGAGCCGAGTGACCCATTTCGTGCTGCTCGACTACGGGGCGAGTTCAAGGGGCTTTCACGGATACAAAGCAGCATCAGAGATGCTGCTACGATGCACGCCATGCTTTCATACGCACGCTACGAACTCCATGGCACTCACGATCAACAAGTCCTCGGCATCGTTGATTGCAGCTTACTGTTAACGTTACAATTACTGTAACGTCGTCGTTTCATTGGCTAATAAATATCACACTATTTGAGTTATTTTTCACTATTTACTGTTAACCTAATTGCCAAAACCTTCCAACCGAGAGGAATAATGGACGACGATCACGGCCGCAAGCGAAAGCTGCCGCCGGGACTTGCGCCACCGACCTATCGAAGTGACGAAGTCGGGGCATCGTCAGGGAGTGGAAAGGCAACTCCATCGTTCTCCATCGGTATGTCGAAGAAATCCAGGTTTGATCGGGAGAAAGAGCTGCGTGAGCAGAAGCAAAAGGAAGCCGACGAGGAGACAAAGAAAGCGTACGCGTCGTTCGTGGCATCGTTCGACCAAGACGACAGTGGACCGCGCTTTGTGCCTTCAGACGATCATGCTGCTGCTACCACGTCCAAACCTCGGCCGTTCTCGCTCACTCCCCCACCCTTGTCGCGTCCACAGGCAGGAGGTCCTCCGCGCCATCAACCGTTCCCGCCGCCACTGGTGTCGCGGCCCCAACCGCCGCCGCCGACTCACATACCCGCTGCTCCAAAGGACGTGGCAGCGAAGAAACCTGCGCCGTTTGCGTTCGCCATGGACGACGACGACGACGACGTGCCACAGGTGATCCCCAAGCGCAAAGCTCGCGAAATGGATCGTTTTCTCGAGGAAATCAAAGACAGGTACTGTATTTGATGCCATTGAGTAGTCCTTTGTGATATTGAGTACCAGTACGTTGTGATATTGAGTACCAGTACGTTGTGATATTAAGTACCAGTACGTTATGATATTGAGTACCAGTCCGTTGTGATATTGAGTACTTTGGTGAATCATGTATAGTGGCTTTGAGCCTGTGGCCGCGTCTCCATACGACACTGGCGCCGATGAGGACAGCACCAATTTGTACGTGAACAACTTGGCGCCGTCCGTGACCGAGACCCAGCTACGCGTACGTCCCCGTTGAGTTTTCACATGTCACTAGTACTACGATGGTCGGGTGTAGGCACTATTTAGTGCCCATGGCCCCATCTACTCGATCAAAGTCATGTGGCCCCGCACCGATGAAGAGCGCGCTCGAGGTCGGAACTGTGGCTTTGTGTGCTTTTGCAAGCGGTTGCATGCCGATTCTGCCCGCATTCACCTGCACGAAACCAAGGTAATATATATATATTTCTGAAACCATCCACATAATGAAAAATATACACATCCAGCTGGAAGGACTCGAAATCTCTGTGAGTTGGGGCAAGGCGGTGAAAATGGACCCGGCCCTTGTTGCAGGCATCGTGGGCCCCCCTCCCCCCTCTCTTCAAGGCCCCCCACCCCCCGCCCCCCCTCCCG